CTGAACTGTTTTTGTTGAATATAATACCAGATTTTATAGAAAAAGAAAAAATGTGTTTGATCATACATGTAACCACAGCAGCAGGAATTTTATATGCCAATTACTGGAAAAAAGAGGAGACTCCAACAATCCAGGAGTTAATAGAAAATTTTTCAAAGCAGCCGAGATGGATATTTTAACTGAAGTATTAAAAGACAAAGCAATTGTTCAGGCTAGAAAAAAGTGGGAACCTTTTTATAACTGGATGACAGACGAGAACATGAATGGGTTAAAATTATACGAAAAATTATAAGGCTTAGAAAAAATGGCAGGATAAGTGTGAAGTAAAGTAATAATTATAAATCAAATAAATAAATAAATAAATAAATAAATATTGTTCTCTATCACATTCTGTATTTTTATATTTACCCCAGTACCCTGTTCCAAATCCCCTTACCCAATCAAAAATGAATAAAAAATTTAAAAAGTCTTAAGATTATAATATTAAAAAAATGACTATAATGATTGTTCCATTTCCTATTCCAGTGGTGCCTCGCTTAACGAGCGCTTTGTTTAATGACAAATTTGCTTAGTGATGGCTTTTTCGGAGTGATCTTGCGCTCTGTTTAACGATGTTCCCTATGGGCAATTTTCACATAGCAATGTTTTGGACCATGCTTCACATAGCGATGACAGTTTGGGTCCCCCTGTTTCGCTTAACGATGGTTTTGACAGCCTCATGTTGGCTGTTTTTTATATGTTTAAAAATGTTTAGAATGCTTGAAATCATAAGTGCACTTAATAAACCCTTTGTTAAACTAATTTGACTTTGTTCCAACTTTTTTTAAGTTTGTTGTAATTTTTTCCCCATTGAGATGCATTGAATAGGTTTCAATGCATTTCAATTGGGGAACCGCATTTCGCTTAGCGATGTTTCCTATGGCAATTTTCGCTTAAGGACGGCAATCCGTTCCCATTGGAACAGATTATCCGGTTTTCAATGCATTTCTATGGGAAACCGCATTTTGCTTAGCGATGTTTTCCCATAGCGATGATTTTTTTGGAACCAATTAAAATCGTTAAGTGAGGCACACTGTACTCCTTGTTCAAATGGAAATCATTAATTTGCAAGTAATCTCTCACCTTGCAGTGATGTATGTATCTTTTAGGCTCTCCTGAATAAATCCAAAGAGAGCGCACACAATATTCTGTATGGTCAGGGTTGCTGCAGAGAGGTCAGGATGTTCCTTAAATTGTGGTACAAGCTGTAACTCTCCCACTAGAACAACTATTGAAAAGGATATATGTTTCAGCTAGGATCTAAACTCAGCATTCAGGTACTGGAGTGGATATCTTTCTTTTTTAATTGTTCTGTCCAAACAAATATACTGAGAAATATCAAAGGTCAGAGAAAGAATTATCTGGAGTGGGGAGAAAATGTCTGCTGTTTGTAGGTTCTTTCCTGTACGATTATGGGGATCAGCTCAACCTCTGCTAATAAAAAAAGGGAGTATTTTAAAAGAAATAGCACACAAAAGGTAGGGAAGAAGCCTCTTTCTCCTTTCCAGGTGTGACTAAAATGATGAGAACTGGCACTAAAATGTTGCAAGAACCAATCACTACTTTTGTAACTTGTCCTTCCTTCAAGAAGCTTGGACATCAACTCCTGGGTGTCACAGATAGTTCTTCCACCTAAGCCAGGGCCAAGAGTGGAAGAACAAGAATGACAGAAACTGGTGTTTGTCAAAAATAAACATGTGAAGAAACCACTTTATTTCAAGGATATCTGGAGCTGATCCTGGGATTTCATTGTTCTCAAAAGAACCACAATAACCAAGTGATGGAACCTGAAATAGGATCTGAAAGAATCCTTACAATCTTCAGGCTGAAAAATCTTGTAGATCATATTAGAAAGAGGTTTATTGTAAATGATCCTGGAAGCTCTTGATATGTGACTCTCACGTCAGCCTATTCTGTGCAGTCAAATAACTCCTTCTAGGTCAGTGCTGAGAGATCTATGGCCTTTCAGACATGGTTGGACTCAACACCCACCATCACTAGCCACTGGCTATGCTGATTTGGGTTGATGGGTACTAGAACACCACATCAGATGGGCTGCAAGTTCCCCATCCTATCTATCCTCTTGATGAAAGTGAAAATTGGCCCAGTATGACTGCTAGTTATTTTTAAAGGTCAGGTTCTAGAAGTTAGTTTTGCAATCAAACGAGCTGAACTTGGGAAATTCCAGAGAACACCGCCTTGCTACAGATCCTCTTTTAACAAGCCTAAATAATTTGCTTGATAGTCTCCTTATCTAGGACAGAAGAATTAGCTTTCTCTCTCTTTCCTCATCTTACTGAAGTTGTTCAATAGGGAGTGATGTCATCTGCATACCTTCTACTTTCTATTGAGTAGTTTTTACGTTTCAGCAACTCATAACGCAACTTACTCCAAAGTCCTGGCTATACCAGTAGTACAGTACCACCAATTATCCTTTGAATAATGCATGTGTCCTGAAAACAGTAAAAAGTTGATTCATGACTCACAGTAAGTACTTCAGAAAAGTGGAAACATACTCTCCAAACTGTATCTAGTTAATTCAGGAAACAACATGCAGTGATACTGGAACCAAATTGAAGAATTTCATTCTTAAAGAATGAAAACTCATATTACAGCTGTAAATGGATGTCAAATAAAGGTAAAGGTTCCCCTTGACAATTTTTGTCCAGTCGTGTTCGACTCTAGGGGGCGGTGCTCATCCCCATTTCCAAGCCATAGAGCCAGCGTTTTGTCCGAAGACAATCTTCTGTGGTCACATGGCCAGTGCGACTTAGACACGGAACGCTGTTACCTTCCCACCGAGGTGGTCCCTATTGATCTACTTGCATTTGCATGCTTTCGAACCGCTAGGTTGGCGGGAGCTGGGACAAGCGACGGGAGCTCACTCTGTCGTGTGGATTCGATCTTACGACTGCTGGTCTTCTGGCCCTGCAGCATAGGCTTCTGCGGTTTAGCCCACAGTGCCACCACGTCCCTAAATGGGTGTCAGGAGACTGGCAAATAAGGGGATGATGGTTTCAGTTGCTTCTGAAACCTGGGCCTGCTAGCTTGTGCTTCATTGAGAAGAAAATGCCTGTTCATTATCAGCTCAGTCTTATCAGTGTGTGAGAAGGAATTTCCAGGTCATAAAACACTCTCTCCTGGTACCAAGCTGAGGAACTGTTGAGAAACTGGTTTCAGCTCAGAAAAAGGGAGGGAGAAGGACTTAAATTACTTTAGGAAAGGTTACTCCCTTCTGGAAGTATCAAGGCAATTTGGGATTGGTGGAATAAACTGGAAAAGTGGATAATGGGTAAAAAAAAAGATTTGGGAAATTTGCTCAGTCTAGCCTAGTTTCTCTGTGGAGAACACTACACTCAGCTGCTGTCTTGCAAATTGATTTATACTTTGCATATGCTGAAGTTCTGTTACATTTGAGGAAGTGGACTTGTCCATGAAAACCCATATTAAAATACAGTGGGGTCTTGACTTGAGACCTTAATCCGTATTGGAAGGCGGTTCTCAAGTCAAAAAGTCTGTAGGTCAAGTCTCCATTGACCTACAGTGCATTGAAAACCGATTAATCCTGTAACAGGCTGTTTTTGTTCCATTTTGGGTTTTTTCTGGTCTGTAAGTCAATTCTTAGGCTGCAAGTCAAACCTAAATTTTGCGGCCAGAGAAGTCTGTAACTCAAAAAGTCTGTAAGTCAAGCCGTCTGTAAGTCAAGGGTCCACTGTATAGCAGTTAGTTTTTTAAGGTGCCACAACGTTTTTGTCTTCTTTATTTTTTCTTTTTCTTTTGTTTTTGTCCAATAC